ATTAGAGTTTGACATTTGTAAAATGCCGGATCCGGTTTCCCATTTTTTCTATACGGACCGGATTTTCCGAATCGAAATATGGAAAATCCGGATTTTTCGACCCGGATCCGGCCTACAGTATCAGAAAATCCGGGTCCGGTCCGGGTTCGAAGCGGTTTTTTAAGAAACCGCTTCTACGTTAGATTTTTCTTCTTAAAGTTTTAATTCAAGATAAAAATTATTTATTTTAAAATTCAAAAATGTATTTGAACGGCAATATTATTTTTATTGCTTCCATACTTTTGGTGATTTTTTGTGAATTCGACGTCGAGTCTAGTGGAGGAGGTGGTAGACGTAGAGTTCAGGTGATTTTAGTGGCGCTAACATTGTATCAGAATTTTGCAGACCCAGAATATAAACAGACACTAGACTAAAACTCACGAGAAATGTCAAAAATGAAAAATATTATTAAAATTTTATGGATATATTTTTGATAAAAAATTCAAACTCAGATTAAAAATATGAAAATAATTTTATTTTCACATTAATTCGTTCCATGTAAAATTATAGGTAGGAACCACTGAAGCATTGCAACGAGAAATACATGCTTTAAGGGACGGATATATTCAGGCTCTACAAGAAAATGATATTGTTTTGTTGCAAACTAAGGTTAGAATTTATTATTAATAAAATGAATCAGGAAAATTTTTTGGAAGCCATTCAGATATCATGATCCCGAAATTTATTTTTGGATTTGCCGACTTATTGAGAGTTATATTTTTGAATAAAAATTTAATTCACCCTATTTTGTTGTTAATATTAAAAAATATCTGACAAATTTTTAGTTAGATCGGACAAAACAACTTCAAGATGAATATGTACCGATTCCAGGAATAAACCCATTTACAGTAAATTTATTAATAAATAATTAAAAATTTCTCTAAAATATCAGAAAAATTGGATACGTTAAAATCTCTGAATGATAACTCCATTTTAATACCCGTCTAATACAATGATTGAACAATCGAACGGCATGCCATTTTAATAGAGTTTTTATTGCAATTAAAAGTTCCAATCGTTTTGCGTTGATTTTGTCTTTGCGCTGCGTTTGTCGTTGTTTTTCGGTATTTTCATAATTCTCAAAATTTTCGCCTGCGGCGCCAAAATGTGTGGAAACTAGCTCCTTGGCCTTCAAAAATTCTGGAAATTTTTGCTTCAGCTTATATACAAGTTTATCCCCGATGATCCTCCAATCATTATCCATCTAAACACTTATATCACAAAACAAATAAGACTCCCTGAAATAATTGGAAAATGTCTAAGCTTTGGTTAAAAAATTTTTTCCCATTTTGCGGAACGAAGAAATATAATCGAACTATTATAAGTCTGCATCCAAATAATTGGAATTTTTCTATTTAAATTTGATCTTAATGGAAGTCAATTCTACCTAATTTTGGCTTCATCTCTCCAAGTAAATTACTCCAATTTCCCGATCCATTTCCAAGTTTGGAACTTACATTTTTATTACATTTTATTAAATAACTTATCTTGAAAAATATTCATTACCTTAACTATAAAAAATCTTTTAAAGTTGTACGAGCTTCAACAATTTATTAATGACATTGAAAGATATAATACGTTTCGACAGGTGAGTTATCTGTAGTGTTGGACATGTTACGGTATTACCGCGGTAATTTTCGATAATACTGGGTATTGCCGGTATTACAGTTTCGTACCTTTTCACTTTTGAAATTTTTTAAATATTCTATGAGCGAGATTAGTGATTGGGGCTTGGTTTGATTCATTATATAGAAAGTTTGATACTGTGAAGTAAATATAGGGGAAAGTTAAAAGATTTTTAGAGGCAGAATATGAGAGAATTTTATAGAGAAATGTTCTCTAAAAATTTTGGGCTAAAAAGATGTACCTAAACTCGAATATACAAAAATGGAACACATACCTCAGCCTGTCCTCATGGAAAATAAAAATTAAAAGTAAATTTCTAGACACAGCGTCTTTCGCAAGCCGTAATTGATTTACTTCAAGCGATGGAATTGCCTCGTCAAACACGTCGAACTCGTCAGAATTTGGTAATAAATTGATTTTTAATATGACCGTCTAGAATCATTGCATATCAGAAAAATGTTGGGCGTATTAATAAGATAACTGTTCAAAAATTTCATTATTAATGCTTCGAGTTCAGCATTTTTTCCACAATTTTCAAAAAGTACAAATAAACAAATAAATTTGTTGACAAATTTATAGCGTGATAGGGCTGAAGAGCTTCATCAAGAATATTTAACAATAAATCATAATGTTCAAACAAATCCAGTATTGAATGCTGATGGTCAGATACGACAAAATGTAAATTTATTAATAATTATAAATTGGTTTATATGGCTCTAAGAAAAAATTAAATGATTTTGTTAAGAGAATTTCTACCAAAAGCATTTTATCTATTACTATAGATAACTTACAATTAGTAATAAAGTATACTTCATCTTAAATTATATTTTAAATAAATCAAATTTTAAATAAATCAAATTTTAAATAAATCAAATTTATAAATAGCTTGACGCAACTCGAAATTCTATTGAAGCTGCTCGACGCAATCTTCAATAGGTAAATTTGATAAAATGTTTAGATTAATGGGTTAACTTACCGATTAATAAAAAATTATCCAACTCTATTAATTATTCATAATTAGAGCAAAAAGCAATGATATAATGATAAGGCTAGGGTATATAGCAGGGATGTCACTGGTCGAAGATTGCTAGTGTCGGTTTGAGATTTTACTTGTCTTCTTATTTATTAAACCAGTAACATCCATAATATATAGCTAAAACCCCGTGGAACATGTTTTAAAAAATATATACACGAATTTGAGGTTCACTAAGCATAACTAAATTTCCGGGAAGAACAAGGTTGTAACCTTAAATCTAATGCAATAAATTATATTTAACTACTAATTAATAAAATTTATTTTTAGAGAAATTTATGGTTGAACAAAGAAAAGAATTGAAACTTGACAAATCAAAAATTATTTGGATTGATATTTTTATTCGAAATTTAGTATTTTCACTAATTCTTTAGTGACTCCCCTTCTTCATTAGCAGATGTAAATTAGTTAATCTTATGTTTTCCACTTTGGATTATGTAAGTGTCGACCCCTCACACATTAACTGTTTTTCAAATTTAAAATTCAATCTGTTTTTTGATAAAGCACCTCTTTCATTTTTTTTATATTTTATTAACATTAAGCATTGTCATCAGATTGGTATTAATTTTACAAAAAAGTTTCAGCATAATTGCAGCATAATAATAAATACTGATGTGTCATTACTTGATTTTTTTGGTTGTATTTCAGAAAATATTAAAATATCGAGTGCTCATGAGATATTGAGATGTTATCATTGAAGTTGTTAAAATCAGACTGGTGCATGGATACGGATTTTGCTATCCGTATCCGGATATATCCGTAGGGTCAATATTCGTATCCGTTTGTATCCGTCCAACTTTTGAGCTATATCCATCCGCGGATATCCGCGGATATATCCGTTTTTCTCAAAATGGGCAGCCTAGCTAAAATTTTCAAAATGGTCAAATTTATTTTAATTCGAGTAATGGTTAGATAATAAGGTAATAACTGCATGCAGCAAAACGAACCTTGCTTATGAACATCGGAGGTTCGAAAATCTGAGAGCAGAGATCGGAATTCCGAAACAACGCTGCATATCAGGGATCATACCGACAAAAAATAAAATTTTGAAAATTTTTGAGAATTTTTGAAAGTTTAAATTCCTGATTTCGGGCCGTAATGAAAATCTCGGTTAACTGACCAGTTCCAAAATTTTGAGAATTTTGGAAGATCATGAAGCAAAAAATCTTTATTTTTAGCGCCGCAGGCGAAAATTTTGATAATTTTAGAAGGCCATAGGCCAAAAAAATCCACTTTTTTGCCCAATCTCCTCATCAAATTTATCCCTATTCCCCATTTCGAGAGGGGGGTGGGGAATTCCCCCTCCATCCCTCCCTGGTTATGAGCATGGTATAGGTTTTTGGACCTCCAAAATTCAGGGATTTTTGTTTGCTCAGCTAAAAGTGAATTTTTTCGGCTTATGGCCTTACAAAATTCTCTAAATTTTTGTCTGGTTTCTTAACTTTTAAAATTCTAAAAATCTGGTTTCTTGGCTTTTAAAATTCTAAAAATTTTTGCACTGAGTAGGGCTCCCCGAGCCTTTGGGTTCGGGATCGTTGGGGATCAGCGTTTGCCGGTCAGGGCATGTCGTGGTCCGGAGTCGTGGTTGACTTTTGGGTCGGGTTAGGGGTCATGTGCGAGAATCAATTATCTCCTGGCGTTGGGAATATAATTATTTTCTCTTGGCAAAATGTATTTTTATAATTTAATCATGGATGTTTAACCGCAGAAATTAGAGAATTAGGGACGGATATCCACGGATTTGGAGCATCATATCCGTATCCATCCGTATCCGTCCGATTTTTAAAAAAGCACTATCCATATCCGTCCGTATCCGCGGATACCCGCGGATATCCGGATATTATCCGTATCCATGCACCAGTCTGGTTAAAATATAATCGGGGTTGGGGGGATATCAAGTGATTTGTAGAAATATCGATCTTGAAAGAATATACGAAGGAAGATAACGGACGACTTGGAAGTATAAAGGAACAAAGTGATTTGGAGTGATTTCGACTTAGCCATAAATTTCTAAATTTTTTATTTGTTGGATGAACAAGTAAAGCAATGAAGGAAAATAGTGGCACTATTGTATGCTGTCATTTTTTTAAAATTCGCCAATATTTTATTACTATTTTTGTAAAATTTTAAGATTTGCTAATTTTTCCGTTTTAGCCGAATGAAACTAATTTAAAAGAATGAATCATTATGTAAATATTTCTAATTAAAATTAAATAATTTATTAGTAAAATTGAAAAAAAATATCATAATAAAAATTATTTTTGTATATAGTATTTATAATTTAATTCTTGATTATTCATTGTTATTCTGGATTTCTACATTCTTTTTTACATATAACTGCCCCACAGTTAGCACCACAATTTAAATCCTTCCATTGTCCATTTACATTAATAGCTGTACATTCATGGCATTGGTGAGATTCTTTGTCTTTATCATCGGAGGATATGTCTTCTGATAAGGGTAGGGTTCCAGGCTGTTTAAATTTAAGAATATAAACCAATAAATTCGTTTCTACCTCCACATGCTTTTCAAAATCTACCCTACTTCCATCATCCCAAAATCTTTCTTTTGAACCTCTCTTAGCTGAATGAAGTCCAATCCAAGAACACGCAGAAATATTTCCACCTGCCTGACCTATAGCCAATGCTGATGTAATTTTATTTTCCTCGTTTGAATGAATAGAAGCAACTTGGGCATCGTGTTTATGGCAAATGGAAAGGGCCTACAAAATTCCTTAATTAATACATATAATGTAAGAAGTAAAAGAGATTCAGCTAGCTGGGAATTAATAAGTTTACTAAGTAAGCGGTGGCTTAATATCTATAATGGAATGAGCGCCCTAATAGCTCAGAACTAATTGCCAAGGGGTCTTAGGATCGATGCTTTCTAAGGCTTAATATATATATTCAAAATCCATTTAGGTATATATTTTTACCTGCCAATAATTTCCAGGACTGTGCAGAGGAAAAGCATGGAAAGCTTTTCCATCCACATATGGCCAGCCATCCTTTCCACAAACTAAAAATAAACTTTAAATTGAAAATATAATTAAATTACCATCATGTTTATGTTCTCCATCACAAGGCTTTTTACATATAAAACCTCCAATTTTTTGATTACAAGCGAGATCATTCCATTTAGCTATACCTGATGATGTTGCTAAATATATACCTGTACAGTCCTCTGATTGGCCATCTTAAAAACAGAAAAATATACGTAAAAGCTCTAAGTAAATGCCCGGACATTCTATTTTTTAATTATCCTTTTTCAATTATCCTTCATCTGGAGGGGGGTGTGGGCATTTTATTGGAGATTTTAAGGTAAATTTAAATATTTTTTTAAGTAAATTCTTACGTCCGTGCGAACTATTAGTTCCAGAAGGGTCACAATTGCCCCATGGCTCTATTTTCATATTGCAATCAACTTCCCCTTCATAGCAACCATAATCACATTCGGAGCCATCAGACCACACTTGTACTACCGTGGGATTATAACTAAAAATATTTTGTTATTTTTATTTTTTTAAAATTACAATGGATAGAATTGACTACGATGAAGACCAAACCAAAATCCTCTAAGAATCTTATCAAGAAGTTCATGTGCCTTATCTATATGAGGAACCCTTTCAGCACAAATTAAAGGATTATTTTGACATTCTGCCAATAGAGGAGCTGCCAACTTTGCAACAAATGAATTTTCTTCAGCACTGTGAATGCTTACAAGTTCAGCACCCATTGAACGGCATCTAACTTCAGCCTTTAAAATTTTTAAATAAATTTTCATTAAAAATCTATGGATAACACAGATTTTCAGCCAAAATAGGCTAGGAATATGAAAAAAGATAAGAAAAAGACAATTACTTGTTAGCCGATCGTATTGGAGAACACAACCGTATAAACTTGTCCAATGCCTTGCGACATTGGACCTGATTGTACACCTTATGACGCTTAAAAATTTGCCACGCCCAATCAGATGTAGCTTTATGCTTTGTGGGCATTGAGAATTAACTGGATATCCGTATCTAAAGATCCTGACTTTTTTCAGATTCGGTTCCGCCGTACTTCCCTCGTTTTGCTTATAAATTTCGAGGCAGTAGGATTTTGCTTTACATAATAATAACTTTAAAAATTTTTTTTACAAACTTGAAAATAATTAATCATATCTTCAACAAAAACTCTGTATCCATACAAATGCCCATCTTTGGGATTTCTAAAAGTTGACCAGTCATCTGTACATCGATTATTTTCATTATGTTTATTTTTATGATTAATTTCTTTCTTTAATAATGCTTCCATCATCTGTTTATTTTCAGCTAATGACATTAACGAAAAATGATTTTCACTTTCTAATAATTTAGGTGATGGATTGGATAAAATATTTTTAATGTGTACGAATATTATTAAAAGAATTGTTAATTTGTTGAAAGAAGTGAAATGGGAATTATTATACATTTTTAAAATAGCTAAAAAAAATTTTTAATTTAAGGTTGAGTTATAATTATGAGCAGGCCTATTTTAAAAACCCCGAAGCCGTAATAGCCAGGATTTTAAATGGCGGAGTCGGATCTAACCAGTATTTTTTATACCCAGAACTAATATTTATTTAATACTTAGTTTAAAGCGTGGCAAATTAAAATTTTGGATTATTGTAGATAAATAATTTTACTAAATTAATGACGGATTAATGGAGAATATTTTTATGATGATAAGATTCATTTTTGAAATCGCGCTGTTTAAAATTAACTTAAATATTTAAATAAATTTTTGATTAATACCTTCCCATTTTACTTCTTTATATATTCCCAAATATTGAAACAAAAAATTTAGTCCAAAAGGATTTGAAGGGAAAATTTATTTATATATAAGTAAAAAATTAGATTAAGGATTAAAAAAATTAATATCTGTCTGGCTATCCAAGTTAAAAAATGTTGCAACTTTTGTGTTAAATTTTTTATAAACATAGCAACAAACAGATGTTACATATGTATTTTAATGTTCCACCAATATGTAAATTTAATATTAATTTATTTTGACAATTATATTTAGGTTATTTTTTTGAATAATAATAATTTTGCGTCTGGATGTTGTGCAATAATAATAAAAAAATTTAAATAACCAGATCACCAATGACCACTAAATATTATTTATTAATTTGTGAGGAAATGTGTTAATGTTGCGAATTATTATTTTGTAATTTATTCGTCCATCCTAAAAAATATCATCTTTATTTGTAATTATTTAAAATATAATTTTAAAGTTTAATATAATTATTTTGAAAATTAATTTTAAAATTAATTTGCTTATTATGTATGATAGTAGATCCTGGTGTAAATTTAATATCAATAGCTCGGAGAGTTATAGTGGATGCTCGTATAATTATCCTCAATCAAATAATACCTATTCTCGAATAAATTATACCCTCTAGTGTGAGGTTGGAGCGAAAATTAGCCAGGGTAATTATTTAAGCAAATGCCGAGATTTTAACTATTTGATTGGCAAAATTTCCGATTGAAAAAAATCTGGAAAAAATTTTGATACATACAAAATAATCATTATTCAATCCCTCCTAGCTTCAATACCATGAATTGGATATTACTAGTAAATTAGTACATTCGATTTTTATTCAAAAATATTCATTATAAAATAAAAGTAATTAAAATTAAAGATAAAATAATTTTAATATAAATTGAAAATCCTGTGCTAGTTAAATTTCTTTTGCTGCCATTTTTCCAAGGACAAATCCTTTTCTTTTTCGGAACAGATTGTGTTGTTGCAATCTTTTTAGTTGATGATATTTCATCTATTTTTTGATAATTTTTAGATAATTATTTCCCAAAATAAGGCCCTTATTGAAATATAGTCCGATTTTAGCGTTAGTAAAAAAATCTAGTTTATTTATTGATGTAACTCGAGTAAATTGTATGATCTTATCTTAGGTTATATTTATTTTATAGTCGATATTAGAGATCAGCCTGAGTCTGGACCAAGGCCTGGGTTTTTCCAGTATCCAGAGTCCAGGCCCAGACATTTTTTGACCTTCCTGGGTTTTTCCTGAGCCTACATTTTTCCTGTACTACAGGCCCAGGATCCGGCCCAGGTGAATAAATCAAACCCGGAACCCAGGAACAGGCCCAGGCTTTTCAAAATTTCCGATCTCTAGTGATATGATATTTTGTTCATTTTCCCTACTATTCAGTTTAATTCATCACCCATTTTTTCTTTAACTAGGTAGTGTTATTAAAATTTTACATGTCTTATATGCCCAAATTATATAAAATATATGCCCTCTCTGTTTCTTGAAAAATTAATCCTATATAATTTTCTTTTTTGCCCGTAAATAGGCTACTCTATTAGGATCATAATCAAAAGTAATTTGCTCTCTGACAACATTTTGTTTAATTCTTATAATTATTTAAGCCGCTTAAGTCAGGTGGGGTTCAAAACTTGACAGCCTAATTATTTAGGATTATGGCAGTGTATTAATATTTTTACTTACTAATTTTAGCTGAATCTGATTTTGAACTTAAAAATTCTTCAGTAGGCCTATTTGTAGAAATTTCATTCGTTGTCTTTTCAGTTTTTCTTGTTGTACTAGGTGTAGGATTAGTTTTGACATAAGGATTTTTTACTTCGATTCTATCAGGATCTTCACTTGAATCCTCCCCAATTTTATACGAAAATTTATTGACAGATGTTCTAGTTATTTTACTTATATTTACAAGTGGACTATCGTTACAATACTCTGTCCCACAAATTAGACAATGGTGACAATTATCTACTTCTCTCAAAACTTCACAAAAATTAAATTCGTTAATTACTTTTGGAACATTTAAATTTTTATCTGTCTCATTAAAATAGAATTTAACATCATCTTCGTGTAAACATTTGTGTACATCTAAAAATAAATTTGCATCAGTGTATCAACAATTTTTTCTGTTAAAGTAACCGGAACTACATCTCCGATAATTTGTTTTGTTTGAAAATGCCCTCTAACATAAGACATAATATTATTTGAACCTTGAATAGGACCATCCAAAACTAGCAATATATTAGATGGGGCTTGTTAATGAGGTCAATCGCTTGATTCTGAGAATTAACCGAAAAATCCCTTATTTGTGTTAGAAACCCTTGCGTGTTAGGTGCCCTGTGTGTTAGGAACCCTTATTTATAAATATACGCATTTAGAGAAATAAGAAAGTGAGATAAACTGGCTAGCATTTAAAATCTTAAGGGGGGATTTAAGATTTCCACAAGCCTGCTCTTAATTTAGTAGAAGGTAAAGCTAGTAGCGCAGTAGGTAGTAGCTAGTAGTAGCTCAGTAGGTAGTAGTAGCTCAGTACTACTACCTCAGTAGGTAGTAGCTCAGTAGGTAAAGCTGTTAGCTAGTAGCTCAGTAGTTTATTAATTTATTAAACAAGTAAATTCATTTACATTGTTCTTCATTATTACAGCGAAATAAAGCCAAACAGTTCCCTAAATCATTACTTCCCATTTTGGCACAGTCAACTCGGTAGGCCTGCGTTTTGTTGTCGTAACCAAGTGTATCATTTAAATTATCCCCCTCGTTGAAATCGTTGAAAAAGCATTTAATTGCTATTAAATTAATTTATTAATTTTCTTAATTATTTTTTATTAGATTATTGGTTTTTTTAAATTATCAAGTTTCGTCGTCCTAGAATTTTTTGACATTAAATCTTTATTTGAAGATATACATGGGTAAATCTAGGAGCTTTTTCTTCTAAACCTAATTCTTATCTCTTAACATTTTTCAGTGATTTTTTAATTCAAAATTTCTGAGATAAAATTTCCGCTATAATTAAGTTGGACATTATTTTAGGAATGGAACTTTTTATTTTTTAAAATTTTGTGCGTTTAATTTTAAGAATTTTTGAAATTTATTTTTTAATTTTTTAACCTTCAATTTTGATAAAATTTGGCAAACTCAAAATTAAAATAAATAATACAAACATTATTTCGAATTAAATTTAAATGAGAATATGAATTATCTTAATAATTTTTAAATTATTTAATTTAAATATAATAAAAGGGGTAAATTAATGATTTTAATTTACACTTTGTTATTACTGAAAAATAAAAATGTGTACATATACATATTTATTACTGAAATAATTATAAAAAAATTAAATGATTCATTTTTAAATTATTTTTGGATTTATTTATATTTAAATGATGCAGATAAATATGTATTAAATGTATAATACATACATAGTTTGCCATTTTTATTGCAAAAAATACTAAAAAAATTTTTTAAATATGTGATTGAACCTGGACATGTGACGGAAAACAGTATTCGGGTCTAGTTTAGTTTGGTAATCTAATGAAAATCTGTAGTTAATTCAAAATTTATGCGTCAAATGAAGGTTTATGAGTCTCATATAAGTTGATATTATTCTTTATATTGGATTACTTAACTTCTCATAAATTACTTAACTTAACTCTTCTTTTTTTACCTTTAAAATATTTTTTAAATTTATTTTCAAAATAATTAAAAATTTAATTTCAGAACGTACAAAATTTCTCAGTAAAATTTAAAAGTAAAAATAAAAGTATAAAATACTGACAATTGCACACTAATTTAGCACTATTTTACTTAATTGTACTCCTAAATATACTCAGACATTTATAAAGATAACTATGTATTGGTAAATTTATTTTATAAAAAAATTCTTTATTTTTCAAGAAAATTATATTCTACTACTTTAATTTTCTAATAAAATATCTATACATGTTTAAGCAAGGCTCAATTTGTGTTGAAACTCATTAACGAAATGTGAACCTCCAAAAGTCGAATCTTTATCAAATAATGCTTCCTGAACAATATTTAAATGCTGCAGTTTCCATATTTGCTTCCATTTTATTCATTCCACTTTCAATAATTGCTTTATTAATTAATTTGCTATATGCTTGTGTTTTGATTCATGGGCACCGATATTTTTCTACAAAATTTGTTTATATCTGTTCAAGACATTTAGTAATAGCTGATATAGTATCTTCACTCACACAAATTTTTGTAATTGTCCCTACTGTTATTTTACCATATGAGATTGGAAGAGGTTAGTAGTTGAGGAAGTGTGTTGACAAGAGTTAGCTTAAAGCTTTCGGTTTGTCTGTAAGTGGCATTTAGATTAGATCCCGACAAGATTCAACAACTCTACCCCAATTTTCCGTGTATATTTGATCGTGATGAAAAAGTTTGTACAGACTTTAGATTGTTCTATAATTTGAAGAAAATGTTACTTGATTACTTGATCTTTTTAGAAAATCATTTATATTTTTCCATTTTATGCTAAGTTGAAATTAGTTGATCTGATAATGTTTTTAAAGCTAAAAGGATTTTCTGATAAAAATTCCAACCAATCCTCCTCAATAACATCGAGAAAGTTGAAAAAATTTTGGTGAATTTTTGATTATGGGCAAGTCCTATATGTTTCTTCTTCATTTAGTTATTAGGTTATAATCTGAGTTATTTCCTGAAACATTTTTAATTAATTTAAATTATTTTAAATCTTTGATTAATTTAAATTAAAGAATTTCTTCTCTCTCGATTTGTCGAAACCGTCCTAACATGCGAAACACTTGCACACATGGCTACTTTCCATTTTATGTTTTTACAATCACTTGGACATGTTCACAATCAATTGTTATATTCACAAAATGAAATAGCTATACATGCATTAAATAATTGGGGTTCTATTGTTTGTACAAGCTTTTGGATTTGGTTAGCTTGTAAGTTAAGAAATATTATTGTATTTTTTGAATAATTACTCAGAGTAATAATTGTTTCGATGAATCATTAGAGTAATGAATCGAGAAAGGCAATTATCCGATATTTGAAATCTGAACCTGTTTAGGGCATTTGATAGGGGGGGGGTGTCATTATTGGTTTGCATAAGGGTGGGGGTATTCAATGGAGGTGATCAACAGGGGCAGATAATAGCTATACATGCATTAAATAAGCTATACATGCATTAAATAAGCTATACATGCATTAAAAATTACACTATTGGAAAAGCAACAGCAAGAGTTCTATCCAAACTTAATGACCCAAACATAAAAATAGATGCAAAAGCACCAAAGATTGGTATAGCCTGATATTTAAATGCCACAATTGCTGGTACAAAGTTTATGCCTTTTATTGTAAAAATCAAAAAGAAAATATGCCCAATTTGATGTAAAATTTTACAAAACGAGTTGATAGCCAGTAAAATACTTGTTTTGCTTTTCATTGCCGTATATTTTCCACTAAGATTTTATTGAATATTAAACAAGGAAATAATAATTTTTGGCTAAAATGTACATGTGATTTTTCGAATATTATAGGAATATTATAGGTCAATGGAGGTAATCAACAGGGGCAGATAAGCCTTAGTCAATAGAAGATGAGTGATTATTTAGGAAAAGGTATTTATTTAGGTTTTGCGGTAATGTAAACTTTATTAAAACTCATCTCTTATCTAAATAATTTTAAAAAAAAGTATAATTAATTAATTACAAATTTAGTTTTACTTCTAATCTTCGGAGCTTTTTATCGTTGTGTTCTTCGTTTTAATATTGTTAGCTATTCATTTTATTGTGTCTGTCATGATGATGATAATAATGGATTTGGTGGAGCTTATTTAATAAAAATATTGCTTGGATTTTTAATGATTATGTGTATTGGAATTAATTTGTTTGGAGCTGTGTATTTTGAAAGAAAGATACAGTTATAATTAAATTTATAATTTAATTAGAAAATCTTAATGAGATCTTGTAAATATTGTCTTACATATTTATGATTAAATAAGATATTTGTTAGCCTAGCGAAATTTAACCAAATAATCTGTAAGACAAAAAAAAATCCGATTTTAGTAGTTCAATTGAGATAGGAATGATTTGTCGGATTATAAGAAACCTTGAACTTTTTCAAACTCAACTCCGGAACCCAAACTTCTATCGAGTTTGAAACCCTTTTTGAAAAATCTTGAAATCCGACCAGAAACTTAACCCTATTTCTCTGCTAGATAACACACTAAAAGCATGGCCATGTTTATTTTTCCATTGATTCTAAACCCTTTAAAGCATTATTTTCTACATAATGAGAAATAAATTTTTTGTTTTCTAATTGGAATTTAAAGACTCGTCTTTTAGAAAATTATTCCCTGGAAATTCTCGATCTGCTGCAATATCCACAACCACAGCAAATATTCGAAGGACATCAATCAGCGTTAGTGTAATACATAGAGTTCATTTACAACAACAATCTATCCAATCAAATCAAAGAAAAATTCTTTATGAAATGCTTAAATCTAAAGCTTTTTTTGTTCAAGTTGAGAAAATATCTTAATTATTTTATTCTAAATTTTAAGGGATTTTATATGTCTTTATCCTTATTAGCTCGTTATTCTGGTTTTCATTTAATTCCATTATTTTGTTTGTTTTTGTATGGTAATGGGGTTCAAACAATTAATGAAAGGGCTACAATTAATGTTATTGGAAACGTTTTAATTTTGGTAAGTTTTAAAAGTAGAATCCGACTGTCATTTACTAACAGCGGTTGGAAGCTCGTATCAAAATTCGTACTCGTATTACCTATGCCCGAAGTACTCGTACCTGTGTACGAACTGCATAATTCCAATCACTGTTTACTAATGCATTTTATGGGCAGATGATCCATCTTTATTACATACCTTTATTCAGATAAAAAATGAAATCAAATAAACTAAATGATAGAGAAATAAAAAGGAACAAATTTAATCAAGAATTTTCGCAATCCCCGCCTATCTAAAGTGAATTTCACGCCTTTTTGGCTAAATACTCTTACATTCCCAGTGCATTATGATGAAAGGTTAAGTGATTGATTAATTTTGGATGATCCTGTATTTAAATGCATACTAGTTACACATACCTATCTGTATGACCAATAATCCCGTTAAAACCCATATAAAATTTTAGTGATAGGATATCAGGAGCTTTGGCTCATGCACAAAACGGACATAATTTAATTAAAAATAAAAATTTATTTTAAAGTTAAGCATATGTTGCCACTCAATTATTTATTGGTTTTGGAATTTTCGTATACGCTCTTTAACTGAAGAAGTTTTGATATTTTTGAGGACACTAATTCCTAATATTTTTCAAAAATATAATTGAACTTTCAACGAATATTACAATCACAATTCATGAAAATAAATAATGTTAGATAAATATTAAGCATAATTAAAATATTTAAATATGGGGAAATAATATTTATTAGTATTTAATTTCCTTCATGATTGAGAATTTATTTTCTTAAATGTTTCTTTAATTTTTCCAAATTCCTTAGCATATGCCTTCTTAAAGTCAGAACTGAAATATTTATTTTTAAATCTAGAGATACTCTATGGCATTAGTAGCATAACTAAATAGTGTATCACGAATGTAAAATTCATAAAAAATTTATTATAACTAGAGCCCGGATTTTTATGCATTAAAAAATGCAAAATATGCACTATAATATTCATAAAAAATTGCCAAAATATGCACAAAAATATGCAAGTAAACCAAAATATACACGCATATATGCATGAAAAATACCATTTATACCTAAAAATTTTACATATTTTTAGTCAATATGATTTAAAATACATTTTTTTATTAAGATTTCTCCTATTTTAAATGTATAGTTCGACAAATTGAGCATTTTTACGGTGTTGGGCATTTTGAGATGAGGCATTTTGGTGGTGGGACATCTTGGGGTCGACGTTTTGGGGCTGAGACATTATGGGGGTGGGCCATTTTCTGGCGAAACCAATAAACTCAAAAATTTTTTTACAAAATTTGTAATTTTTACAAATTTTTTCCTAAATTTTTACTAAATTTTCACTTTTTGGCAGGATTTTAGTCAATTTTCGCAATATTTTCCCCAAAAACCTCAAAATATGCAGTAAAATATGCATTATGCAACAAAGTCCGAAATATGCAAAAATATGCATTATATGCAAATAAAAACCCCCTCAAAAATTTTCAAAACTTGCGAAACACTGTTTTTTGTGCATAACACATCATGAAAAGTTTGCAAAAAAATGCATTTGCATAAAAATCCGGGCTCTAATTATAACTGATTGATCTTGTTGCACACTAATGCTAATATTGGCACTATATGAAAGGAGGTCGATAATCGTTTTTTTCATTACTATTTTCATTAACCTTTTTCCTTCCTTAATTACAAATAATGGTCAGTCTTTTCTTCCTCGTTCAATTCCACTCTTTTTACCTGTGGCATATTCAAATGAGGACAGACAAAACACGAGTGTTTTCTGTTCGTGTCCGTTCGTGTTTGTCTGGTGTTTTGTCTGTCTGTGTCATTCCGTGTTTGTCTGTCCGAGTCCGTCCGAGTTTTGTCTGTCTGTGTCATTCCGTGTTTGTCTGTCCGAGTCCGTCCGAGTTTTGTCTGTCTGTGTCCGTCCGGACGGACGGACTCGTACAGACAAACACGGACGGACACAGACAGACAAAACATCAGACAAGCACACGAACAGACACACTCGTGTTCTCTGTCCGTGTGTGTGTTTTTGTCTGTCCTCATTTGAATATGCCACAGGTAAAAAGAGTGGAATTGAACGAGGAAGAAAAGACTGAACATTATTTGTAATTAAGGAAGGAAAAAGGTTAATGAAAATAGTTATGAAAAAAACGATTATCGACCTCCTTTCATATAGTGCCCTAATATTAGTTCTTTTTGCTTTCTTATGCTAGTAAGTAGGTATATACATATCCCCGTACGAAGGTCGGGGAAATTGAATGGTGCACAAAGTCCTCGACTTCGGGGAAGTCGCCCCCCCCCCGTGACGCTGCCTATAGGTAAGTACAGACTAGGGTTTGACCCCGAACGCTCGGGGGCGGGTATGTCGGGGTACGGGGTTTTCGAATTGTTTCGGGGCGGGGTTTGGGTCGGGGGAGCAAAATATGCTCGGGGTTCGGGTCGGGGTACGGGGGTTTAGTGGAAAAATTTTTTAAGGAAAATATGTTCTAAAAATAAGCCATTTTCGGTCTATTTTCGTTAATTTATTCAGAAATTAAGGGGAGATAGAGGAATTAGAGATAATATAAGAGGTTTTTTAGGGATTAAATGTGATTTAAGTTGTCTAACAAAGGATATAAAGGGATTTGGAGGGATTAAGGGAAGGATAAAGGCGATTTCGAGGGATTAAAATTGGTTTCATAGGATATCAGTGATTTTGGCTTTAATCTACACTAAGGTTGGCGGATCCGGATATCCGGATCCGAAAAAAGGCCGGATATCCGGAAATTTTCGGTTCGGATA